CCTAACCAGGGCTAGGGATCAAACCTGCAACCCAGGTATGTGCCTTTGGCCAGGAATTGAACCCAAGACCCTTCTGTGCTCAGGCCAACACTCTAATCACCGACACCAGCCAGGGATGCTTTTATTCCTTTTTTACACCGATGTTCACATAAGACTTCATTTAAAGTCTTCAGAACCTAAAAAGTAAGTTTGTGATTCACTGTCTTATCACAAATTGATCCTCCAACTTCAAAGTTTACATCAAACACATAATACTTGATTATACTACTTCACAATGAACTATAATAAAATGCTTCATGTATAAGCATTAATTTTGGCCCCTTAACTAATATGGTAGCTTCCTCAGGAGTAAAGGATTCATTTCTCCTTTCCCCTTGGTGCCTAACATACTTGGTGACAGAAAATAAGTATCAAGCATCCTGCTTTTTATCTTTAAAGCCTTGCAACTCAGTTTATGGTAAATTGCTTCTTCCCCACCCCTCCCCCAACAGATCGAAGAATTAAATGGTTATACAAAATTATATGTAATTTTAACTAGTTGGGTCAGTTATAAAAGTCTCACTCTTCTTCTTCTTTTTAAATATATTTGTATTGATTTCAGAGAGGAAGGAGAGGAAGAGAGAGAGATAGAAACATCAATGATGAGAGAGAAATCATTGATTGACTATCTCCTGCACACTGTCTCCTGCGCGCTGTCTCCTGCACTGGAATCAAACATGGGACCCTTCAGTCCGAAGGCTGACATTCTATCTACCAAGCCAAACCAGCTAGGGCAAAAGTCTCACTCTTCTTAAAGCCATTCAGCTGTGTAAGAAATTCAGAAAATTTAATAAATTTAAAAATAAATGTATCTGGAGGATTGCTTTATTTCCCACACTTTAAGATCTCTTAGTTATCTTACTGTATGCTCTCTGGATTAAGTAACAAGATAATTACTCAACTGGCCCCTGGGAGCACACTCCAGGTTGGCTATTTAATTAAAAGATAAGTATATCTTTTATATTCACGTTAAACTAAATTCAATGTATTCTTTTTTTTTTAATCCTCACTCGAGGATATGTTGTTGTTTTATTAATTTTAGAGAGAGGAAGGGAGAGAAGGAGGGAGGGAGGGAGGGAGGAAGAGAGAGAGAGAGACATCAATCAGTTGCCTCCTGTATGTGTCCCAACCGGGGATGGAACCTGAAACCTAGGTATGTGCCCTGACCAGGAATTAAACACGCAACCTTTTGGTATAGGGGACAACATTCCAACTAACTGAGCCATGTGGCCAGGGCTGAACTCAAAGTATTCATAATCAGTTAAAATAAAGGAACTCTTCTAAGACTTTAAAAGCAACATACAGCCAAATTGAATGCCAAAATCAAAAGGTCAGGCAGATTCTCCAAGAGCAGAAAATATATTTAGTTCTCCCTTATCACTTTACTTCTCAATTGCATGTAGCAATCTCTTCTGCCATTAAAAACACACACTTTGGTTGTCTGTAAGCCAGCGTTTCTTTACATCCTTCACTTACATTTCCACTTTTTGTGGGTCTTTAGAATCTTTACCATATCACTCTTAATTTCATTTATCTATATATATAAAACCCTAATATGCAAATAGAACGGCAGAACTGAAAAACCGGTCACTATGATGTGCGCTGACCACCAGGGGGTGCGTGCGGAATATGGTGGGCGTTGGCCACGGCGGGGTGGTGGAGCAGGTGAGCAAGGGCGCCAGACCAAGGAGGGGCGTTGGTTGCTGTCATTGGGGCGAGCCTCTGGTGGTTCCTGAAAATTCTTTGCTCCTGTGCACCGCGGTCCCACCCGGCACACGCACCTGCTGCCGGCGGCCGGCCCCATTTGAACCCGCTGCCGGTGCTGGAGCCACCGCTTGCACCTGCTGCCAGTGCCAGGTGCCAGCCCCGATTGCTCAGCACCATTAGCAGGTGCAAGCTGTGGCTGCCAGCCCCGATCATCCCTCAGGGCTTCTCTACCTCCCCCTGTTCCTGAGGGATGACTGGGGCTGGCAGCTGCCGCTCGCACCCACTGCTGGGGCCCGGCCCCCGTCCCGATCACTCAGCACCATCAGTGGGTGCAAGCGGCGGCTGCCCACCCTGATTGCCCCTGGGGGCTTCTCCACCTCCCCCTGCTCCTGAGGGGCAATCGGGGCAGCAGCTGCCACTTGCACCTGCTGCTGGCACTGGCCCCAATCACTCGGTGCTGTCAGTGGGTGCAAGCTGGGCCGGGGCCGATGGGCCGAGACCTGCCCCTGTGCCCACCATAGCCTTGCAGCCCACAGTTCCTTTTCAAGGTGCACAAATTCGTGCACTGGGCCCCTAGTATAACAATCCTGAATTCTGAGTGTCTGTAATAATATCATAAGCGTTTGTTAAATTCATTATTAAAAGTTACTGGTAAGGAATCTACTTCTGGAAAATTGTTCTAGCCTATTTTTTAATAACCTATTTGAATAAATGAAAAAATACATCATCCCTATCTCTTTGCTTGAAGGAAGGTAATACACAAAAGATAATTAAAAATGGCTTGAGCCGAAACCGGTTTGGCTCAGTGGATAGCGCATCGGCCTGCGGACTGAGGGGTCCCGGGTTCGATTCCGGTCAAGGGCATGTACCTGGGTTTCGGGCACATCCCCAGTGGGAGATGTGCAGGAGGCAGCTGATCGATGTTTCTCTCTCATCGATGTTTCTAACTCTCTATCTCTTTCCCTTCCTCTCTGTAAAAAAAAAAAAAAAATCAATAAAAAAAAATGGCTTGAGACAAGATGACAAAGAAATACAACATTTAATTCCAATTGTATTTACAATCATCCTTTCATTCCCCTCCTCATTTAAACTTAGCTGAGGCATAATAAAGACAGAAGGGAGGCCTTAGCCGGTTTGGCTCAGTGGATAGAGCATCAACCTGCAGACTGAAGGGTCCCGGGTTTGATACCAGTTAAGGGCACATGCCAGAGTTGTGGGCTCGATTCCCAATAGGGGGCATCCAGGAGGTAGTCAATGATTCTCTCTCATCACTGATGTTTCTATTTCTCTCTCCCTCTCCCTTCCTCTCTGAAAATCAATAAAAGTATTTTTTTAAAAAAGAATGAATTACAGCAATATTTAAAAAAAAAAAACAGAGGCAGAAAGAAGGAACACAAGTTGAATAAAAAAGTCAGATAGAACCCATAGTAGCTATTCTGTGACAATTTTTCTGTTTAGAGGGAACCAAATAAAATTAAGACCTTTTTAAAAAAGAATCCCATTCTAAAGTATTGTACTAAGATTTTAAAGCTCTAAATTTTACAATAAAATGTTTCTAGAAAGCATTAACTAAAAAATATTTTAAGAAAGTCAAGTTTTCCAGATCTTATCTACCAACTTATTATCCCATCTTCTCAAGTTACCCTATAATTAGCTCTAGAATTAAAGTGACACACTGACTGTCCTACTCTTAAAGGTGCATACATGCTTAATGGCAAAAAATCAGTCTTAATTAAAGGACATCCAGAGTGGGAAATCATGCATAAACAAACAAACCCGCTACAACAAAGATTATAAGTAAATAAGCAAACTTTGATAATTAAATAACCTTAGCTTATTCATTTTATAAAAACCAAGGCAAGCTAAACTACATAGAACACAAACCAAACTTGAATGAAAAAGATAAAGAGATTAACTTTCCCAAAGTTCATGCACTTTATAAATTAGAAGGGACAGGACAAAACTCGATACAGTCAGATAAAAATAGTTAATGTGGGAGAGGAAAATATCAGAACCCTTTAAAGTACAAAGGCCAAACCACTAAAGCACATGGTTCTGGGAACAATTTATATTGAAGCAAACAACCAGCCTAGCCACGGAGGTTAGTTGGTTGGAGCGTCATTCCCATACGCCAAGGTTGCAGGTTTGACCCCAGGTCAGGGCACATACAAGCAGTATCCAATGAATGCATAAATAGGTGAAACAACAAAATCAATGTTTCTCTCTTCCCCTTCCTCTCTCTCTCTCTAAAAGCAGTAAGTATTTTTAAAAATGCAAACTTAACACTCTTACAGAAAAACAAAACTGATATTCACATTTACTCAAGCAATTGAGTGCCTACTATGTGAAAAACAGTTCTAGCAATGCAAAGATAAATCATCAGATTTGGATTCTAGTAGAGATGTGATATTGTTATAATTAAAATCAAATAGGAAGGGTAAAGAGAGTGTCTGAGGAATGGTAAACGAACTCCTTAAAGTTCGGAGTACTTAAAGAAGTTCGGAGTAAGAAATTATTCATGTTGGAGGAGATCAGAAAAGGATTCATGGCATTTGAGCTGGACCTCCAAAGCTAGAATTTACATTTGAAATTAAGGGATGAGTATTCATGGCAATGGGAATAGAATGAGCAAAGGCAGAGATTGGAAAACAGAGGCATATATAGATTACAACAAACTGTTTAGTCTGACTAGAGTCAGACTTAAAAAGCTGAAAAACTATATAAGGAGCCAGATTATGACTTTGACAGAGATTTAAGACAGAGATTTTCAGTGACAAGTCATGAAGAATCATTAAGGATTAAGAGGCAAGGGATCGGATCTGGTTAGAATTTGTTTAGCAGCAAGGAATGAAATGAATGGGGAGGAGAGATGTCAATTAGGTTATTATGAGAGGTAATGAGGACTTCAATTATGGTGGTGACAATAAGAGGGAGATGGCATAGTTCTAAGTTAGTCACTGGGTGTCCAGAATATGTAAGGTACCATTCTACTCCACCAAGAAAATATAAAATCCAGCCCTGGCTAGTTTGGCTGAGTGGATAGAGTGTTGGCCTTTGGACTGAAGGGTCCCAGGTTCAAATCTGGTCAAGGGCACATGCCTCAGTTGTGGGCTCGATCCCTAGTAGGGGGTGTGTAGGAGGGGACCAATCAATGATTCTCTCTCATTATTGATGTTTCTCTCTCTCTCCCCCTCTCCCTTCCTCTCTAAAATCAATAATAAAAAAAAAAATTAAAAGAAAATTTAAAATCTTACCCCATTCTCATTTTTAAGAAAACTGTAATCTGGAAAGAAAATAATTGTTAAAGTATCAGAGCTAATTTATAAGGTAATATGATTTCCAAATAATACAAACAAAATCAAGAGTGAGAGAGGAAAATATGGTCAGGGAAGGCTTTATTAAAGAGGTTGGAGTTGATCTGCACCTCAGTGAAAAGGTAGAACTTCAAGAGGAGAAGGATAAATGTCATACATAGGGCATTTTTTTTTAAGTTAAATAATCTGTTCAATAAGACCAAGATATGTGAAATACATTTTGAGGTAATTTCCACCAAAATGGTAAACAAAAATAAAACATAAAAAATCTTCAATTACTTGAATTTAACTTCATAAAAGTATCAAAAAAACAAGATATTAATATATTAATACAGCTCTGTATGCTTAAAAATAAGCATTTTATTATATTATAGAGTTTTAAAGGAGGGGGGTTACTTTTAATAAGTTCTATAGAAGAGATCAAACCTTTTTTAAAAAAGTATCTTGAAGAAAGCTTTATTCAGTCACAATTTGAAATATCCAAAATGTTATGTTTTGTTACTTGTGAAAGAAGCTCCTCAAAACACAATATAACCTAATAAACTCTCTTCATATTTTACATATAAGTGACAACCAGAATTTGAATTCAGATCTATCCAACTCCAAAACCAGAGCTACACTTGCATCCACTGCTATGTTAACAATAACTAATTTTACTTCTGATTTTAAAATGGAAAATGTATTCATCAAAGTGTAGGACAGGAGGAAGAGATTAGTAATTCTCAAGTTATATAACTACTACAAAACTTAGAGAAACATATATTTAGACAGAAATACTGTTAAGTGGCTTTTGTTGTTGTTCAGTGAATATTAAGCTGTTTTAATAAGATGCTGCTCTTGAATTAGCATATGACAAACAGGGTTTTAGAGTAACAGTAGTACCTCAACCTATTCACATATATCTTTGGGTGCTGGGCTACCTACTGGCCCTTTCTTCTTAAGGACCTTCACTCCTCATTTTTTCATGACTTATCCTCTCTCTCCAAGCATATTTCCTTTGTATCTTTCTAAACACTCCAGAAAGAGAGAATAGAGGGCATGCCAAATTTCTTTGTTTTTACCTTCTAATTCAAGAAAAGCTCTAACCTCTTTCCTCCCATTTCTCTAAGAATAAGCATTCAAGTACTTTCTCATAAAATAAACGTTTTGTTATGGAATATATACAGGGTGAACTAAACCCTAAATTATTTTATCAATAATTATTTTAAACTTATATTTAATATTATTGAGATTTGAATTTTAGAATTGATTCCTTAAAAATGATCCATAATAAAGGGAAAAAGGCAGTAGGGATACACATAGTTCTTATACGACATTCAAATGCACTTGCCTCAAAATAAATACATTAACTCATTTTTTAAAAATCCATTCATTCAACCAATAATTGAGTACCTAATGTGTGCCAGGCACTGTTCTAGGTACTTGTAAACTGTTTCTTTAAAAATCCCCTTTCCTCAGGAAGCTTACCGCTTAGTGGGAGGAGAAAGATAATAAACATAATAAGTAAAGATACTGTTAGAAAGTGATAAATGCTATGGGGGGGAAAACAGAACAGAGTAAGGAAGAATTCCAGGATATTGTGGCAAGCTGCAATTTAAAAAGGATGGTCAGAGAGGGTTTAAGAAAGTGTCATTTGAGTAAAAACTTGAAAAAGGTGAGGGAGTCAGCCATGGTGATACTGGGGTAAGAGCATTCCAGGCACAGAAACCAGGGCAAAGGTCCTGGAGTATCCAGGGACAAGAAAGCTGAAAAGGCTAAAGGGAAGCCAGCAGCGGGTAGAGTAGTTGAGTGTGGAGATTTATGTGTGGGGGAGCAGAGGGTACAGATTATATAGGGATTATGGGACACTGTAAGGAATTTGGCTTTTACGTTGAATGAAATGGGTATCCATACAAGTTTGAGCAGGGTGTCATGATCTGTTGTATCAGAATCACTCAGCTGGCTGCTGAGTTAAGAACAGACTTATTGGGCCCTGGACGGTGTGGCTCAGTTGGTTGGGTGTTGTCCCGTGCACCATGCTGGTGCTGGTTGATTCCTAGTCAGGGCATGTGCCTGGGCTGCGGGCTCCATCCCCGGTGGTGTGGGGTCGTACAGGGTGCAATCAATGTCGATGTGGATGTCTCTCTCTCTCGCCCTTCCTCTCTTTCTAAAAACCAATAAAAAATCTTGTTTTAAAAAAGGAATAGACTTATTGGGAAGGCAAGAGAGACCAGTTAGGAGGCTACGAAAAAAGCCCAGGAAAGAAATATGTACTTCCTATAAACTTTGACAGTAATGGTACAGTGATTACTTTTATGCAAAATAAAAAAATCTGTCAGATCCTGCTAATAAGAAATAACCAGAAGTTAGAGCTCTTGGTGTATATATATATGTGTGTGTATATATATATATACACACACATATATATATACATACACACACACACACACACATTGTGCAACACAAACACAAAAATCTCTTCACTACAGAAAAATACCAGTGTGTTCCTTTATAATCATCTATTTCCTTTATGAAAAAAATTTAATTCTGTTGCAGCTGAGACTATCCTTTCAAGAAATTAGTAAAAAAAAATAATTAGCCAATATTCCTGTAACTCTGCTAATTATATACTATTTAAGGGGAGGGGAGTTACTTCTGTCCACTGAAAATATAAATAATTTACCTTGGATTGGTGTGAAATAAATCATTCTTGAAAATCTTATTTCCTTCATGGGGAACAGAATTTTTTCTACTAAAGTTTCTCTTTTTATGTTCCTATTTTTAAAATAAATTCTTTTCTTTCAATTGATACCAACCAAATTTGCATATCAGCATCTGGGTCATTTATTTAAGGAAAGGACAACCACAAAAAACTCCCACTGTCACAAATAACATTCAAAAAATGTTCCTCCATGATACCAAAAAATAAACCCCCAAAACCTCTCATTATCATCTAATCCTCCTGGAAAAAGCAAATACAATTCTCAACACTATGTTATCATAAGTATAAAAGGGGCAATAAGTCAAAGATATTCAATTTGCCTGGAAAGGGGCTAGAAAACACGAACGGAGATTTTGAAATAAAAATCCATTCCACTACAAAAATTTGCTCATGAAACTGAAATAAGCACATACATCGTCTTACAGTATTTTGAGGTAAACAGAAAGTGAAATATAAACAATTTACTTGCTTCAAAGACTCAGAAAGACAGCCAGATTTAGCTTGTGTTTTTCTAAATTAAATCTTGATTGTTGAAAGTATTACATAGATCCCCTTTTTTCCCCTTAGCTTGTATTTTTTAAAGAGACTTTCCCTGTGGCAAGTCTTGGAAGAAATGGGTGTGTAAATTTACAAAACGTAATATGAAATTCAAATTCATTAATTCCTTCAACATATAAGTGCATTTCTGTGCCAAAAAGTGCACGAAGCACTGGGCACATGTACGCTGTTCTCAAGTCTTATATATAGTTTTCATGTGTCCCAGTTACTGAGTATCTACTAGGAACCAGATGCTGGGGACACGACAGCAAAGAGGAGACAGACACATGGCCCCTACCTGCACGCAGGGTCCCCTGTAGAAAGAGGGAAATGCCTCAAGGATGAGCCATCATCTAACGAAACAAGGACAGGAACACTCAGGTGAGTGTTCCGTGTGCTGTTGATGGACGTGTGGAGGGCCCGGGAGGACACAAACAAGGGAGGGAGGGATTCCGGACAGGAGGGAGGGGAAGGCAGAGCCTCCGGCTCGGCGGTGACAGGAGAGCCGCGGCCTCCAAGAGGATTAGGTGTTCACCTGGCCGACCTTGGGGGCAGGGCTCCGCGCACAGGGAGCAGCTGGAGCAGAGGCTCGGGAAGCCCGGGATACAGACCGTGAGCTCGGTCCTGGAGGCTCCCGACGCCACAGTCAGGACTGGCCTGTATTGGCATTTAGGAAAAGCCCCCGAAGGGTTTTCTTCAGAAAACCAGCTTGTGTGATCAGGTTTTTCTGGTGTCCTGAGACACTGGTTTACACAGGAATGAGAAAAGAATAACACTAGGTAATGATGTCACCATGAAACAACAAAGGAGCCTGCCCATTTAGAAAACTAACCGCCCCCCCCCCGGAAAAAAAAAATAAGCCACTCAACTCTGCAAGTCCTTCTGGGAAAAAAAGTTTTTAACCAACACCACTTAAAACCGAAGAAGCGGAGGAAAGGTTTGTTTGTATATATTATGAATAGTAACATCGACATATCTACCTTGCGTTCTCTCCAGAGGGCACAGCTCTTTATTAATTGTGGAAACACACCAGGGGGTGCTGACTGTGGTCCAAAAAGCACTGAAACTCTTCAGAAGAAAGTCTTTGGTACCAAGGGGGAACCACGAGGAACAGAAGGTATGTTTCAAGTCACGTGTAAAGGTTCCCAAAGTTCAAGAGAACCAAGTTTTATTAAGTCAAAGCGTTTCAAAGGTGTCACGGGGTGGAGCCAAGGAGGAGGGGTTTAAAACTTAATAAAAAAATATTGTCAACAACTAACTCTTAAAAAAACAAACAAACCAACCACCACCAAGTACCTCTTGGTCCGAGGGGACTAAGATCACCCCTTCACGCTCTTCTCCCAAGGAGGAGCCATGAACACCCACCAGACCCAGTGAACACAGGCTGGGGTGAGCACCCATCACAACATAACCGGGTGGGGGGCACCCACCCGACCCACCCGCCCAGATCCCAGACCCCAGTCGGTGGTGCGGCGACACCTCGATTCAGGCATAGAGGCAGGAAAATGTCACTCCCAACTCCACCAGCCGCCGGCCCCGGGGCCGAGCTCACCGCCTCGGATCCCTC